GATGATAACACGGATTATCTGAGAGGTTAAGTGACTTATACAAGTTCAGCTAGCTAATAATCAGGAGGAAAACCCTTTGCCACTTGCAAACTACCTTGCCCTTTCATCTCTTGATGCCTAATATTTTACCATTAGAACGTTATTCTTTAAAGCTTAAGGCACTGGTCATCTTTAATTCCAAATGCCTCCAGGGAAAGTCATATTTAAGCTAGTCTGTCACTGATACCTGCCACTTTAATGTACATAAATTTAGAAACTTTTGCTGAATTAATTAAAAAATAAGGAGATGTTAAAGAAACCGGGTCCTGAAAGACTGAGAAGACACCCTAGAATGGGGGAGATGTGAGAAAAGCTCCATCTGACTTCTAATTTAGTCTCAGGCCACTGCCTTCACCGCCTGGTGATTCCTGAAAATTCTCCATTAGAGGCATCTTATAACACAGGAGACCCATGTTGTCACCAGATCTGTCACCAGCAGTAAGGACAGGGGAAAGGGCAGCTGAGTCTCTGCACTTTTTTGTAATGGAACCTCAACCATCTGGCTCAATGGGTTTCTGGCTTCTCCACGGAGACAGCATTTAGATATTTAAACTTTAATGTGAGTGACTCAGGAATAGTTTTGCAGACAGCATCAAATGCCTCTTCTCACCACTGGAGCAAGAAGCCATGAACGGCCAGCACCGAGGCTCTGACCAGGCAGGGAAGGGCATTCAAGCCTTTGACTCGTGACCTAAGCCCCAGTATTGTGCCATGCATGTGCTAGGTGCCAGGGCCTGGGGATTCTAGGAGGAGCAAGGCGTGCTTCCTGCCCTTGATGAGCTCATAGTCTAATGAGCCCTCTAAGTACTGGGTGTTGGACAGGAGAAGCCCAGGAGTCTGCTGAACCAGGAAGAGGCTGCCAGACTCACAGTTCTAGAAGAAAGGAGGGCAGAGTCCAGGAGAGCTGAGATAATGCCTCCAGGAGCAGGTGACACCCAGTGAACACCACTGTAGGGTGGAGGCTACTTATTGCCTGCCCATGTCTATACCCACTGGTGAGTGTGTGGGTGGTGGTGGGGGGTATGGGGAGTGGTTAGAGGAGGCCTGGTCAGCACTTTTAGGCCAGTGGGAGAGAGTCTCACAGTTCTCCTTGCTCCTGCCATTCTGCTTGTGTCTTACAGTTCCTAACCCTCTATTCTTGGGCTTTCTACGGGGCCACTCCTTTCTAACAAATGAAGGCAAGAGTCAGACCTCCAAGGAGAAGGAGCTGTGAGCCAGTTCCTCATCTAACTGCTGGATGATTCCTTTCCAAAGGGGAAAGGTACCCTGGAAAACTGTGACTGGGAAAGCTGTGAGAATTAGGACTCAAGTGACAAGGGAGGGGACAGAAGAGCTCTTCATGGTGTTTGCCAAGTCTGAGTACAAAGACCACAGGGCAGAGAGCAAGGAAGAACCTGACTAGGACATTTTGGCAAGGTCCAAAGGAAAACTAGAGGGTGGGAGAGTGATGGATTTAGGCAGAAAAGGCTGGTGAGAGGGGAATAGATGAGGCAGGAAGAGCAACGCTAACGAACCCAAGAGAGCCAAAATGGTCCATGACAGAGGGAAGAGCATCCCATCCCAACGCAAGGTGGGGAGGTCTCATTGGCAACGCATCCATCACCTTCTCAGTAATTAACCAGCCTCTGTGTACATAAAGACATAATTATAGGCAAAACAACTCCTTTGATGTAAGAGTATAGAATGTCTGGGGGGAAAGGGGCAAATAAAAGAAAGAACAATCTTGCTTTAATATACAAACAAGGTCCACGGAAAGGTGTTACCAAACAAGCAAATAAGCCAAACAAACAAATGAACAGAATGTTGGGAAAGGAGGACCCAGGCTGACTGGGCACCCAAGATATCCTGGGCCCTCTGAGAGCATTCTAGCTGACCTCATTGGGCATTTCTGCTTTTCTTTCAAAGAGTTCATGTCTTTTCATTAGAGTGGCTGTATTCGCATCCCCTACCTGTTCTATGCAGAAATTATCAGCATTTCCAAAGGGGCTGGTTTCCTTCTGGAATGAAAGCCCCAAAGAAAGGGGGGTTGCAAAGGGTTTGAATGGCTCCTCCTGGGAAGCAAATCTAATCGGGAATGGAGCTGAGCTTGTAACCCAGCATCCTGGATGCCTGTCCTGTGATATAACCCCTGAAACACCACTCTTTCTGTTGTGGCCAACTTTATTAGAGAAATCTGTTAATTGGGGAACGGAGGGGGAGAAGGGAGAGAGCAATGGGACGTTAATATGATTTAACAGTTGATGGGCTCTGAAAACAAATAAGGAGGGGGCTTGGCACATTCGTCGTTCCACATACGTGTTACCAAAATGAATATATGCAAGTAAACTATATGCGAGACTCTGGGGGCACAGTAACACAGACTTTATGAAACAAAAAGGCATTTCTCCTGCTTCCACTGTGTCTCTTGTGGTGCCATTGTCTGATGCTAAGAACTCACATAATAACAAAAAACAATGCCCCTATGATGGGGGGAAAACTTGATTTGGCACCAGCCGTGGTGTTTTCCATGGGAATGATGGTGGGGGCTGTGGCCGACTGTGGGAATAGTGCAAATCAGCACTTTTTTGTAGATTTTCTTCAAGCCATTGTTTATTTTGGCTTTGGTCAGATCCGTGGCCCAGCTTGAAGATTCCCACTGGGCTTTCTGAAACTCGCAGACCTATGAGAGATGGAACAGGCATAAATAAATAATTACAAAACACCCTTCCCCCACCATGCCACTCATGCACGCGTGTGCCTGCCTTGGTGGTGCATATATGTTGCAGTACTATATATCTGACCCATGCCACCACTGGGCAATTAAAGAGAAAGCAAGGTTTTGTCTGGGCTTAGCTGGTTCATTGTCTCAGTACCATCTTTCATTTGGGGCAAGAGAGATCAGAGCTGTTTCACACAAGGGCCAGTTTTTGCAAAAATGGCATTGGAGAAAGCTGGTTTGAAACTGTGCATACATGAGGTTTTCCTAACATTTTTAGATGTTTACAGGTGTTTCGACACGAATAACTCAGGTTGTGGTTCTCACAGAAACAAAAAAGTCAGTCATTGTTCTAATAATGGAAGATAAACTTTTATCTCCAACACTTAGAAGGTTCTACTCTATCGTAGCTAAAGGATGCAGCGATCACCCAGGCAAAATTTGTCACAAGATGGAAAATGAGCAAAGAGTATGTGTGGTATAATTATATTATGGTCCAAAATGAGAATACGTCGGCTTTAAAATGACAATTGCTAATTGTTCCTCTCATAGCAGCAACACGTTATTATGTTTTTAAAAGTGCACAAAGGCTTTCTTGAAGGCTCTGGGAGAGTGTGTGCATGTATACATATTCTGTAAGTTTTATACAGAGTATTTCACAAAGAAATGTATTTTCCTTTTTTTAAAAGAAGTTTCCATGACCTGTAAGAGTTTTTCTTTCTTTCTTTCTTTCTTTTCTTTTGAGATGGAGTTTCACTCTTGTTTCCCAGACTGTAGTGCAATGGCGTGATCTTGGCTCACTGCAATCTCTGCCTCCTAGGTTCAAGAGATTCCCCTGCCTCAGCCTCCCGAGTAGCTGGGATTACAGGCATGCGCCACCACGCCTGGCTAATTTTGTATTTTTAGTAGAGACCGGGTTTCTCTATGTTGGTCAGGCTGGTCGCCAACTCCCAACCTCAGGTGATCCGCCCACCTCGGCCTCCCAAAGAGCTGGGATTACAGGCCTGCGCCACTGCGCCTGGCCATCAAGAGTTTTTATGACAATGTGTATGAAGCTGCCTCTGAGTAGGGTGGCTGCATCGCACACCTCCAGGGGGCAGCATTGTCTTTGTCCTTTATATAAATTGTTTCCCTGGAGGAAAACTCCAGGTGACCTTGCAAAGTAACCATATTTAGATGGGCTTGTCATAGAGATATTTTCCAAGGAAGTGCAGAAGAGTATTGTTCACTACATCTTGTTCCTTTCTTAGATACAAGTTACATTAGAATAGGGGACTCAGGCCCTTGCCTGGGTCTGGATTGGAAAAAAAAGATCTTACCATGGGCCAGTCTGTGCTAAGTCAGATACAATTTAATATACAAGCATCTTATCAGACATTTCAGTGATGTGGAAACTTAGGCCAAGAGAAGTTGAGGGACTTGTCCAAGCTCACACAGTCTGTATGCAGCAGCGCTGGGATTTGAACCCTTTCCTATGGCACTCTAGAGCAGCCTTCAATTATCCCCTGCCGCCTCCAGTACTTCCCAGGGCTGGAAAGCATCCATGATTGCTGACAGCAGCGGCAGTGAAACAATGTCAGCTGGGGAAGGGGTCTTCAAAGGCAAAAGGTGGAATTCAGTTGGGGAGGAGGGTGGTTCCTGAGCTGCCACTTCTGCCTTTCAAATAAAAGGGAGCCAGGTGTGGAGGCATCCTGGTGTGAGCTTTGCACAGCTGAACCACGGCTGGGGAGACGGGTGTGGAGAGGGATGCTGACATCTCCTCCCACTTCTGAAAAATAACTTTGCATTTGAAGGGAGAAAGGAGTGAGTAAATCTATAACTCGGATTTGGACGGCCTGGGATTTCATTTGGCTGTGTGAAGGCACACACAGGTGCCTGCAAGTGTGTGCATGACTACGTATGTATGTGTGTCTGTGTGTAGGAGTGTTTGTGTTGGGGGTGGGGAGATCTCCTGGTTACATACTGGTTCCCTTCTTCCCATTGGATTGGGGGTTTTTTATTTAAGTCATAGCAACCACCATGTATGGAGACCTAACTATGTGCCAAGCATTGTGCTGGACAATTTTTGAGGTATTATTTTTCTGTGAAAAAAGTAGTTTGTTTTTATGCAGGTGCACCCAGAGACATCAAATATTTTTTTCCATTCCGGTTAAAACAGTGTTCTACTCTGTGGTAAGTCTTGAAGAGAGGCAGGGAAGGCTGCGGGGACGGGCAGGGGCGGTCCCGGCCTCGCTAGTCTCCACCTTTTATTTTGACCGATCCGATGGCGACAGTCTCGCACTAGGACCCAGGCGCCAGAGCGCCTCCGTCTGTCCTGTAGGTTCATTCAATCTCCCATACACACAGACCCACTGCGAGACCGACACACACTCCCATACACTCACACACACAACTGCAGGCAGCGAGGCTCGGGAAGTCAGGCCGGCTCCTCGCCCCGGCGCCTTCTCCTCTCCAGCCGGCCGGGTCTCCCTGGGGGCCCGGAGCTCGGCCGGGCCGCGCAGCCCCGTTAGAGGACGAGCTCGGCGGACCCCCGTTGCTCCATGGGCAAACGCGGGCGGCCGCGCAAGGAGGCGCGCTGCGAGGGCGCGGGGCTGGCCCCCTCCGCGCCCCCGGTTGTGCCCCCCGCCGCGGCCGCGCCCCAGCCCCCGGCCCTGCCCGAGGAGCCTGCGGGGGCCAAGCCCAGGTGCCCCTTCTCGGACATTTTCAACACCAGCGAGAACTCGATGGAGAAGCACATTAACACTTTTCTGCAGAACGTGCAGATTCTGCTCGAGGCCGCCAGCTACCTGGAGCAGATCGAGAAAGAAAACAAAAGTAAGTTTGGGGGCCCCTGCTCTTCCTCGGCGCCCGGCTCTTTCTTTCTTTCTCCCCCACTTGGGCGACCCCTGTCGCGAGCTCGGCCTGTGCCCCCCCCACCCCCCCACCACACACATCCAGCCCTTGGCAGTAAAGCCGATGACACCGGAGAAAGGACACGCACGCACAAAGCTGCTAAAGATGTAACAAAGACGGGCAAGGGGGAGAGAGGGGCCTGTCGGTGCGTCGGTCTGTCCGTCTCCGGCGGGCTGGGGCTGGGAGGATGGCCCAGCGGAGGAGCGGGGGAGTGGTGGTGTTTGCTGACAACTGAGCCGAGAGCTCATCTCTTTGAGGTCGCCTTTCTTCCTTTTTTTTTTTTTTTTTTTCCCGGAGCCTTCTCAGGCAGACAAGTGTTGTTTTTCTGTCGCTCGTTCCTGGGTGGGGTGGGGATTAGAAGCCGAAAGTTGGAAACCATAGGCAGAGCTCAGAGGTTCCAGAAAGAAAACACAGACACACACTACAACAATAACAACCAAACAGCTCTCCACGGCGTGGGCTCGGCTCTGTCTCTCTCTCTCTCTCTCTCTCCCTCCTACTTCGCCTTTTTCCTTCCCTCTCGCAGCAGGACTGGGCTCAGGCCATCACGTCCACGGACACAGTCCCCCAGTTGCCCTGGGGTGCCACCGCCGCCCCCCCAAAGAAAGAGGCCGGCGGGGCCAAGCAACGCCAGCAGCTCGCCCCGGACACGCCGTCCTGAGCCCGGGAAACTTGGCCGTGGGGACGCGGCTAGAAGGAAACTTTGGGATCTTGGAGAAACAATAGTTGGGGAACAAGGTGTGGGCTGTTGTGTGCTTTTTCTTTATTTTCCGGGAGACGGCTCCTGAGTGAGCGCGCAGGGCAAGCAAGGCAAACGCCTTCCTGGTCGATTTCTACCTCCCCCCCCAACCCGCCCACCCCCAGATTCACGTGGAGAATAGTGCGTGGGTGGGGGTGTGCTGGGAACCCCACCGTGGCCTGGCCTCTTTTTCTGTATTTATTTGTTTCATTTTTGCCACTACCAGCCAGGTCCCCCAGCTTTCCCCAGGCAGTCGACTCAGCGCCCTAACGGGGGCACGCGTGTGCAGCGTATCCAGCACGGTCCTCAGAATAATAGCTGTGAAAAGGAGGAAGGGAACTAGGCAGACAGACCGACAGACAGGAGGAAACCGGGATGTTTAATGTGTCCGAACAAGTAGGAAGATCAGTGAGGTGCGAGTGTGTGTATGTGTGTGTGTGTGTGAGAGAGAGAGAGAGAGGGAGAGAAAGAAAGAAGAAAGGTCCCGATTGCAACGTTTCAGATCTTGCAACCTTCCCCCCACCCAACACAACAACCCTCAGACACAAAAACACCATTGCTGACCGACACCCCAGGTCTTTAGGATTAAAGTAACCGTGTGTTGGCAGCGCAATTATGCAGACGCTGTAAGGCCAAAACAAGGATTTGTGTTGCGAGGTCGGTGGTGCGTTCTTTTCTTTCTCTTCTCGCCTGTTTTCCCGGAGTGCTTGGGTTGCGAGAGAGGCGCATCGCAGGCTATGCAGCCGAATCGCTTCGCAATTATTCATGCTGGGGGGGGGGGGGCGGGGGCGGAGCGGTGGGGGGGAAAGCCTATGTGTGCATTTGTCTGGAGGGTAGTTTCTGAAAAGCCAGAGCTGGTGGGGAGCTGGGTTAAGACGTGGTTTTGTTTGGTGTGTTTGCTTTTGTTGCAGGGGGGAGGGGCGCGATTTCTTTAGCTACCCCTATCCCCGGCTCCCAGTTCTCTGGAGTCTGTCCCGTGGCTTTGACTCTAACTAGGGGTACACCCCATGAGGGCACCTTGGCAGTGTGTGGTGAAGCTGGCTTGTCCCCCCACCCCAGCCCCCCACCCCCGCCCGCCAGCGAGGTGTATGGAGGAGGCGGTCGGAGCTTCCTCAGCGTCCCGCCCCCACTTCGCACCCGCTCCGCAGACAATCGGAGACCTCCCCCCGCCCCACCCCGCCGCCCTGGCCGCCGCCACCTCGTTGTTTACCCCGTGCCGGGGCTCCGGCGTGGCCACCAGTCACGTAAGCAGAGAGCGAGGCGCGCTGGGCTCGGGCTGCCCCGCGCGGGGCGGGCCCGTGGCGGCGTAACCGGGCTCCAGAGGCTGGTGAAGCCGAGGAGCTTCCTCGCAGCCCATCTCCCGAAGCGTCCGCCCTGCAAATCTGCCGGCCCCCGAGAGGGGTTTGGAACCTTAGCGCCCTAGTCTAAGTCAACTTCGTGTGCGTAGTAAGTCCCTCGGCCCCGCAGCCCCCCTCCTCTGGCTGGCTCCCGGAGGGAGTATTTTTAGCTCTCTCGCCTCTTTTCGCCGCTGCTGTTTGGCTCTAAATGACGTGATGCCAACGGCCCCCAGATTTCCCCGAGAGCTTGGGGCGCTGCGCTGTGCCCACTTTGGCTGCAGAGACCCTGCTCCAGGCCCTCGCCCGTCTCCAACAGCTCGGACAGGCTGGGGTGACCTCCGGCAAACTCCGTGCGACCACCCGCCAGGCCCTCCGTTGTTCCCCTCGCAAAGAGAGGCGGCCCACGGGGGCCACTTTATCCCACCCACCCCCTCTCCTCCCCTCCTTCTGCCCGGTCTAGGTCTCTGGGTACGGAAAACGGCGGGCCCTACATCTGCCTCGTTTTATGGGGGGCGCTCGTCGTTGTTTTCTGCTCGCTGCACACAATGCCCGCGCGTCACGGCAATCCGCGTGTGCACAGCAATAACGCGAGTTGGGGGGCGGGTCGTGCGTGCGCCCGGCTCGGGCACTGCGGGTCGCTCTGCGCGCGCGGGGCTTGTTTTGCTCCAGAGCTCTGCTTTCCGAAACGCTTACATCATTCAGTCGTTGGGGGAGGGAGCGGGATCTGGGCGTTCCGATAGGGTTCCAGCATCTACCGGGTCCCTGGTTTCTGGAAGGCAGCAAGGACCCTAGCTTTTTAGTTATTATTATTGGGGGTGGGGTGAGGTAGTTTGTTGTGTACTTTTTTTTTTTTTTTAGGTCACTACTGCAAAAGGGCATCGCTGGCCGACTCAGGTGCACAACCTCCCCGCCTTCATTTCAGCGAGTTCCCCTATAATCACTTGATCTCGGTTTCTCCGCCTTCTCCTCCTCCCCCTCCCGGCTAGAGACACATGGTTTTCACATGGAGACAAACTTCTTTCCTCCGACTGGACTTGACCTAGCTGCGTCATTCAGCCAATCGGCAGCTCCAGCCTCTTCTGACGTCACGCGTTGCTGAGGCCGGAGGCTGCGGGGGTGGAGCCAGGATGCAAGCCAGGAAATCTCCCGGAGCTGTAGTGAGGCCAGCTGGTCCAGTCTCTTCTTAAAGGGACGCTTTTCTCTTCGGAGATGAGTGTCGGGCCCCGATTCTCCATTTCGGGTTCGGTGAGACCTTTCTGAGATGCACGGTGGACCCTGGTCACGAGTTAACACGTTCCATTTTTACTGCTGTTTGCAAAGTACTTACTTGGCAGGAGCTTGCCTTATTTTCCATCGTAGCCAGAACTGCTTTTCGTTCCCTTGTTGAGGTTTCCGTACTGGTAGTGTTCACCAAGTTGTGGCCACATTGCTGAATTATTTCTAGTGGAGAGGTTGAGTTTTCTTGGAGGAGGGGTTCAAATTAAGTCACCCGTTGTTGACTGTTTGCTGTGTGCAAGGCAGGGGGATTCCCTAGGAAAGGCAGGTACATTCTCCCAAAATTCCAACTGATGTGAATCTCTACGGATCACAAATTGAAGGCCTCCAGAAATATTAATCAAGAAGGCTGTGACCCTGTTACCATAAATTCAGAAATTATATGTAAATAATCTCTGACATCACCTATACGCATTTTGAGTCCAGTGGAAGGGTGGGAATTAAGGACTGACTCATAAGTAGAAAAAGATTTTGGAAAAGGTTAAAACTAAAAGAGAGGAAGAGATCCATAAAGGGATGTTATGTGCATAAGAGCTGACTGGCAGGTAAGTGAAAGAAGCTGTGAGAGCAGGTAAGGTCTGGAGGAGAGAAATGGGCTTCCTAGTGTCTGGGGGAGGTTGCTTTGGAGGCAACACTTAAGATAGGGAAGGACGATCAGATGAGAGTAGAAAACCATAAGGCTCCTTGGAGTGGATCACCTGGGCTTGAGGGTGGGGTGCTTTCCTAGGGGCATGGAGAGCCCAAGAAGCAGCCTCTTCCTCCTGGCAGGGGAAGCTGCTGTTGTGTGGTGTCATTTGGCCCCACCCTGCCTTCCTGACTTAATCTCCTTTGCCTTGCCCTGAAACCTCTGTGTCTGTCCGGCAGATCCACCAGCAAGCAGGCTTCACAGTCGAACCTCTGTGCTCAACTTAGACTCTTCTACTGTCTAGAATGCCTTCATTCTCTTATTCCCCTAAGGATATCTGTATCCTACCTTCTCTTCAAGACTTAGGGCAGTTCCCACCTCCTCCAGGAAGCTGCCCCTAGGTATTTCAGCCCATTTGGCTCTATTTCTTAAGTCATTGTACTTGAGAGAATGAAACCTTTGCAGTCACATGGAGCAGGGCCCAGCTTGCTACTCTACTGCTTACTGGCTTTGTGACTTTGTACACAACTTACTTAGCCTGAGGTTCCATTTCCTTTTTGCAAAATGGGGATAACAATAGTATGACCCTCATATCATTGTCAAACAACTAAATGAGGCACTGCACTTAAATATTTAACGTACCTGAAATATAATAGGTGCTCAATAAATAGCACCTTCTCTGAGCTTTGATAATCAGTACCATGCACTTCTCTACTTGCTTCCTGTGTGTTAGCTTTATCTTTACAAGGACATTATTAGTAACTTAAGAGAAAAGATCACTTACAGTATTCAGTGTATGTTACCCATTGCATATAGCACACCACTGGGCATACAGTAGTAGATCCTTAATGTAAATTTTTTGATTGGTTAGATTTTTTTTTTTTTTTTTTTTTTTTTTTGAGACGGAGTCTCGCTCTGTCGCCCAGGCTGGAGTGCAGTGGCCGGA